ACACCAGGCCAGGGACACAGGATTCCAGCCTACTCATAGAGAGGAGAGACATTTGACATTGATTAACGTTGATAATAATAAACCTAATAAACTAGACTTCTTCAGCCAACCAGAGTGACTAGAGGAAAATGTATCAAGATGGGGTAACAGAGTAAAGGAACGTGGTTCAAAAATGGCTCCTGTTAGACATCCACTGGCTCAAGACGTCTAGGAATGTCCGCACGTGACCAGTCGATCACTGAGCTCAATGTCCAGCTCCTCACGGTCACAAGTAAAGCTTGACTCCAAAGAAATCTCAAGAAGAGATCTGTGTATGTGAGGTGGGTGTGTGTCCAGATGAGTGCAGGTGTGTGTGTGTGTGTGTGTGTGTGTGTGTGTGTGTGTGTGTGTGTGTGTGCAGGCATACTTACATGTATGTGTGGCAGTCAGAGGTCAACCTTGGGTGTCAACACTCATGAACCATCTACCTTATTTTTTATTTGTTTTTCAAGACATGGTTTCACTGGGTAGCTCTGGCTATCCTGGAACTCATTCTGTAGACCAGGCACGTAGCAGTAACGCCAGCGCTACCACCACCTGTTCACCGTGTCCGAGCGAGAGGTTGTGGATCAAAAAAACAGAGACAAGAGACAGCGGGTCATTCACCTCAGCAGAATGCAGAATACCGTTTATTGAAGGAGGGAGGAGGCCTTAAATACAGCCTTATAGCACAATGGGAGAACCCCGGAGGGCAGAAGTTTGCTACCGATGTTCTACATTCTTGCATCTAAGCTGTTAATGCCCAATATGCAGGATACACAAACAAGGAACCTCCGGTGAGCATTCAGGAGGAAGGAAACTGGCAGGGAATCAGCATAGGGAGGACATCTGGTCAAGGTCAGCAAGCAAGCAACAGCTACTCAAAACGGGGGACCAGGGCCCTACACAGGCATGCCTTGAACTCACAGAGATCTGCCTGTCCCTGTCTACCAATTGCTGGGACTACAGGTGTGTGCTACCTCACCCTACTTATTTTTTGAGGTAGGGTTTCTCACTGGCCTTGAGTACACTAATTATCCTAGGCTGGCTGGCCTGAAAGTCCCAGGGATCCTTCTGTCTCCACTTCCCAGCACGAGGATGGCTAGGGCCGCCATAACTGGGTTACATTTATCTGTCTATCTATCTATCATCTATCTATCTATCTATCTATCTATCTATCTATCTATCTATCTATGTAGATGTAACCAACGGTCTTATAAAATAAGAAACACAGAGCCAATTCAGAGAAGAAAGCCAAGAGGTCAGAGCTAAGAGCCTCACCCTTCCTGATTCAGGGATCCTCTCCAGCCAAGAGAGCTCTCTGTAAAGGACCTACTTCCTGTGTGTCTGTCTTTAAAGTCTTCCTGTTCTGCCTTGTCATTGGTTGTAAACCCAAACATGTGACTGCCTCGTCACTGCCCGAATGTACCGCCCTCCAGGTCCTTAAAGGCGTGCGCCACCGCCGCCATGCACTTGCTATGACTCTAATAGCTCTGACCCCCAGACAACTTTATTTATTAACATACAATTAAAATCACATTTCAGTACAAGTAAAATACCACCACATATCTATCTATCTATCTATCTATCTATCTATCTATCTATCTATCTATCTATCTATCTATCTATCTGTGTATGTGTTCATTAATGGTATACATGTATCTATCCATCTATCTATCTATCTATCTATCTATCTATCTATCTATCTATCTATCATGTGTATGTGTTCATTAATGGCACACATGTGCCCATAGTACACATGTGGAGATCAGATGACAACTTGTTGGAGTTGGTTCTCTCCTTCTATTATCTGGCTCTCAGGGATCAAACTCAGGTCATTGGGCTTGACAGAACGGGCCTTCACCCACTGGGCCATTTCACTGGCCCATGCCTGGACACTTATGTGAGTTCCTGGCCACAAACTCAAGTCCTTATATTGACTGCTCTGTCTCCCCAGCTCAAGAATAGACAAAACAAACACACAAACATAAATGAGAGCTCTGCTTTCCATAACAGTGGCATGACTCTGTAAGTCTGAGCCTGTTGTATACAGTGGCCAACAAGAGACGGTTACAAGCTCCCAAGGTGTATCTCACTGTACGCCCACTGTATCCCGGGTGATACTGTGCATCTGGAGCCCAGTGGAAATCAGCATTCAGAGGCCATGGTCAGGAGGGACCAGAGCAGATGAGATGACCTGCTGGCCATGGGATGTACACAACAAGCCTGTGGGCGCTTGCTGGGCACCTTTCAACTTTCTTGAAGGTTTGAAAATGCTCATTATTCATTCCTGCAGCACTGGGGGATGGGCTTCACTCCAAGTAAAATGTTTACCCACACCTAGCTGGCTGGACAGACAGTAAGCTTTGGGGATCCACCCACCTCTGCCCCCACACCTCCACCAAGAGCTGGGTTTACAAGTGTGCCCACCATGCCTGGCTTTTCATAGAAGTGCTGGGGGGTCAAACTCAGGTCTAAGTGCTTCACCAACTAAGCAATCTAACTAACTAAATAACAACTAACCCATTGCCTAGTCCACTTTTTCACCCTTTGCCTTTATACTTCTATACTAACAATACTGTTGGTAAACTCTTCAGTCATTTGTCAGAGTAAGTTTTGAAGGGTTTTTGGTGGGGGAAGGGTAGAAGGCTAAAAAGAGTGAAGGGGCTTTATGGGGCTTCTAGTTCATTTCCCCATACCAAGTTCTGAATGAAGATATACTTCTTTTTTTTTTAAAGGAAAAAGATTTATTATTTTAACTGTATGTAGATGGGTGTTTGCCTGCATGCATGTAAGTGCACCATGTGCATGCAGTACCCAGGGAGGCTAGAGGTTTTGGTTACCCTGGAACTGGAGTTACAGACAATCGCAAGCCACCACATGGGTGCTGGGGTCTGAACCCAGATCCTCTCACTGCAAGAGCAGCAACTCAAACCTATGCACCAGAAAGGCAGCCTTCTCCAGCTTCAGTGTGCCAAGGATTTTATTAAAATGCAGACTGTCCCATGGGTCTGGGGTGGTTCACAGTATGAATGGCATGAAACTCGGAAGCCTAACAGTAGCTACCGTGAAGCATTCATTACTGCTTTCCCTGCGGAGGCAGAAATATGTGATCCCATGGTCACCCAGGACAAGGGTCAGGGCATACACACGCAACAAGACAGGCAACACAGAAGCACACAGCTTTGCTAGTCTCCTTGACCAGGAGCCTTCAGAAGGACCCAGGAGCCTATTGTTTTGTCAAGGAAGCCTGCACAGTTATGTAGAAATGCTTATGTGGCAGGCTACTTGGGTTCTGTCTTTGAGGGCAGGAGACTATCTTCTCAGGCCACTCTTGCATAGAAAGGCAGTGGAAGGGGAGAGAAGTACTCACAGGTTTCCAGCTGCTTTGAGGTTCTAGTTTGTGTGGCTCACGTCAGGGAGAAGGGGTGCAGAGATCAGGCCGGAAAGGTCTTGCTTATGAAACCCTCTCCTTTATTGCACTGTGAGCACACCAAGGAACCACACTTCAGGGTGTCACTCCTAAGCCCTATGAGTTTACAATACTCAAGCTTCCCATTGCATTCACAGTGATCCATTCGAACATTCCCCATGTATTTACAGTGTTGTTATTGCTAATTACTTAACTACTGAATGGATAAGGGTGGGCATATTGAGTGATAGTTTATGGAAGTGGGTTCTCTGTGAAGATTTTTATAAATGACTTGTTATTTCACATCTGCTGGGCAGGGCCTTGTGATTAGGGAACATTCCAGGAGCACCAGGGAATCCTCCACTGTAGTTAATCGCAGCTAACAGTTCATTTATTCTCTGGTGGCAGAGGACAGGTAAGTGAAGAACCTGCTTTGTGTCGGGAGCCAAGCAGTTCTTTTCTCTCCCATTCCTTTTTGATTTTAGTACAAAGGTGTGCTCCATCAGAAGACACTAACAAGAATAATTCATCCAGGGTCTCAAAAGGTTTGGTCGCCACCTAGTGGATGATCAGGTAACAACCGATAAAATATCCGCCATTCATTGCCTGGTTTTTTTTTTTTTTTTTTTTAAATCTCCAACTTGGTTAATTTGGCTAATGTCAGAGAACCGTTTCTAACCCACCACCAGGATTGTCGTAGTTTGGCATCTTCAGAGGCACATACTTCACTGTCAGAAGGTGAGCTTAGGAAGAGGTGTAAAGGCCTCTGGGAAGGCTTGCAGCAGGCCCTGCCTCTCCCAGGACTTCCCTCCAAAGCCCAGGTAAGGTGTGAGCTCACTGTGCCACAGTTGCTAAAATTCCTTCCCTGGAAGAGATGCGAACCATATCTACCCATCCTCCCAAAGTCCCAATGATATTCCAAGGTAGGATACCACCAGAGTTCACTCTGGGGACCAATGAGTTCATTGGGCTTCCTTACAGGGCCAGGGTGGTGGCAGGCAATAGTGTTGGCAACCTTAAAGCAGCTACACTGGAAGGTCTTCACCCAGCATGGACTACCTTCCATGGTGGCATAGATGGAGTCCCTTCCTTCATCCTTCCCAACCTGTATCCTCTAGCCCTCCCCACAAGCGAAGTACAATTAGAGCAGAATTGCATCCACGTGGTCAGGATTGTCTGGATACTCCAGTGAGGGTCCCGTAACCTTCCTCACCCTCCTCCCTCACCCTCCTCCTCTGAGGGAAGCCAAGAGTCAGTGCCCAGCTGTGGTGATCCTTTGCAAGTGGGCACAGCTGAATTCAGGCAGATGGGAGCGGGAGGATTGTCGGGGACAACACACACAGTGAATCCACAGCCTGCTCCCCCCTTCCCACCCTTCCACAGCGGTTCACAGCCATGGGTCTCTAAGGCCCCGAGCAGCACTAGCTGGGCTTCCTCCCGGACAGTGTCGGCATGAAGGTCAGGGGAACAGAATCCCATCCTCAGCAATTCTTGGGAATAATCAGAGAAAATAAAGACAACTGCAATAAAAAAAAAAAAAAAACAGAAATCATACCAAGCTAAAAAAACCTAGATATTTGTTCTGTTTAATTAGTCTCAAGGAAGAAAAAGTCCAAGTCCACAAAAACTTACATGAGTTCTGTTTTGCTACATACAAAACCAAACATACATCATTACAACAGCAAATGAACATGCTGAATATCTTCAGGCCACTTCACACAGGACCTTCTACATTACACAATTAAACAATAAATACTGTTGTTTTGAATACAGTACCACCAAAGGTTCAGACTTCTACTTAACTGTTCAAGTATATGAATGAAAAAAAAAATGTGTAAGCCATGTAAGAAGCTGATCTTAGGTCCTTCTAGAACATGACCCCAAGAAGACAAAGGATCAGAACAAACCTTCCTTCTCTGTGAAGACCAGTGATGTCTATTGTCTCCCCCATAGTCTGGTACAGCCAGGAACTCTATAACCTTCAAGTCAGTTACAGATCTTCGGCCCTTTGGTCATCTGGGAAACAGTCCAAAGCCACGGCATGAGTGGACACCTACAGTGTTTTGTGGCCCTTCTCCACCCACAGTGTCACTAAGTCCGAGGTACTGTTTTCCTTACGTTCTTCTTGGGTTTGCTGGATCTGAGGGCTATGCAAACATCTCCGAAATGAGAGGTGCTTCCAGAAGTATACTGATTTGTCACTGTAGCAGGATTCTCTGGTTTGGCCTTGAAATGAATGAGTTCACAGTTCAGCGTTTAATGCTCTCCACTTGCCTGCTTGGGGTATGTTCTTAGAGATCATAGAGAAAGCTATGCTTGATTAACGGCGGTCACTGTAACTGTGACAAACTGCATTGTAAAATAGCACTTCTGTCCTATCCAATAATACTGTTTAACATGGACAATCAACTCAGGCAAAGAGGTAAACAAAGTCACGCCTTCAGACTTCTAGGGCTATCTAGACACGGAACAGGAATTCTAGTCCCCAGATTAGGAGTCAACTTCCATTAAGTGTGCTGGGAACAGATGCATGAGGCACCATCTCTACATCCCTTAGTAGTGAGTTTCAGCTCAGACACACATCCACAAGGGAAAAGAAACTTCACTTTCACATGTCAGGGTCTCTAAGAGCACCCACACAGGTATGTGACAGGAAAGGGAGTCGGTTAGTGCTACTCCAAGGAGCATATAAGTACATATGTGTATATTATGTCGTGCTTCCACTTACTGGCCCTGAAGCTTCCTAAAGATCTGCATAAAAATCTAGAGAAGGAATAAGAGAGGTGCTGGTTATGGTAAAAATCATCTGTGCTCCGAGAAGTAGGGAAGTGGACACACAGGGCCTCACTCAGGGGTGGGGCGGGGTGAAGGGTGGCAGTGTTCTCCCAGAACAAGGTGCACACAATGGGCAAGTGTGGACAGTGCATCTGTGGGCTGCCTGCAAAGTATACATATTTTGGCCACAGAGACAGGTGGATCTCTGTGAGTTTGAGGTCAGCCTGGTCTGCAAAGCAAGTTCCAGGACAGTCAGAGCTGTTACTGAGAGAAACTCTGTCTCTAGCAAAACAAAACAAACAAACAACAACCAAAAACAAACAAACAACAACAACAAAAAACGCAGGAGAGAAGGTGCTTTCTCCAGGAGGACAGTGCAAAAAGAATCTGAAAATAAAGTCCTGAAAGAAAGTCTAGAGAAAAAAAAGCTTGTGTGTTGTTCGATATGGCTGACATCAGGCCTTACATAAGAGCCTGACATTTTGACCTTAGCAACTGTTTTTAAGGATAACCTTTCTCACCCTTCTGCTATTACATGTGGTACCTGTGGCACCTGTGGCACCTGTGGTACCTGTGGCTGTGTGGGAGTTCCAACTGCAACAAGCTACCCTGGTCCTTTTCCCCAAAGGTGAAAAAACAAAACAAAACAAAAACAACAGAATCATGGATGCCCCATACAAGTCCAATAGCTGTTTCACTGCCTGAGAAGCTGCAGCCAAGGGAGGGTTTGCAGAAACACATGGACGGAAAGCTCCCGGGGCAGATAAGACTCAAACGCAGCCGAAAAGACGACCATGTGAGAGCCAGGAAGCCACAAGCAGATAAGAACACTTGGGACAGTATCCAGACACACAGATACACACACACACACACACACAGAGACAGAGAGAGAGAGAGGAAGGGACGGAGGGAGGGAGGGAGGGAGGGAGAGAGAGAGAGAGAGAGAGAGAGAGAGAGAGAAAGAGAGAGAGAGAGAGAGAGAACAAATGTGTCTGCTCCTCCCCAGGCATGATTAGAAAACCCTGCTCCTACAAATGGAAACAGACTATGAGCTTTGACCCAGAACAACAGGATATGGGTCCCTAGTCAGTAACTTAACAATTTATATTTGAGTATTCCCACATAATGCTCTTGGTTCCTCAAAGGTCTAAGGTGCCAGAACGATTCTTTCTTGCCTCACCAGACAGCAGCAACCGTGGTTGGGCCTGCTGACCTTCCCTCTGGAAAACCTACCAGTGATTTTAACTTCAGTTAAGAGAACTCGGAAACAGGCTACAGCACTACCCCTGGACTTAAAATGCCTTTTAAAAAGCGCCAGAGAGACAATCTAGATGCCTTTGCCTCTGGCAAGGAACTGGCTCAGATAAATGACACTCAGGATAGAAACTCATGTGATCCTAAGCGGAGTGGACCTGAGGCCTGGAGGAGGGTGGGCAGCAGATGAGACAAAGACTCAGCAGCAGAAACTCCGCTTGAGGGTTTATGCAAAACCAGGCAGCAGTGAGCCAGCAGGGCCTTTCTTCTGTGAGGCTCCAGGGTTTCTCTCACGTAAAGCAGTACACACTGTTTCCCATCCTCCAGAGACAGGGACACTGGGGCCAGTTCTACAATGGCTGAGGGGAACTGCCGTTTCAATCCTCTGTGTCATAGACACATGAGTTAACTCTGACCTACTGGTCCCTCAAATGCTTAAGACTGGCTACCAAGAACAGCTTACTGAGCCTTACTGAGACCTCCGAAAGTAAGTGTTGCGGGGGAAGGGGGGTGTAGCTGGAGAGTCAGCCGGCTACTTGAGTCAGTGATGGCAAATGGATTCAAATTCACCATCACTTTGGGGCGAGCCCCCTTTTCAGACTCTTCACCTCAGCGGTCACTTTAACTTATATGTGCCTTGCTTTGCTCCACCAGTTTTGAGCTTTTTCTCACTGGATGAAGAGGGGAGACCACAGTTATTTGCATTTCCCTTTTTCTTCAGGTCTGAGTGTGCTTGTGTTCTGGAGGTCCTACAGGAGTCCACTGGGTCCAGAAGCACTGGGGACGGCTTGGGAATTCGGATGTTACCATTGGCTTCCATTGCAGGGTTGCCCTCGGCGCAGGGTGGAGCACCGAGGTGAAGCTTGGGACCCTTACTTGGTTTCTTCTTCTTTTCCATTCTCGACTCAGGGGCTTGCTTCTGAGAACACAGCCTGGGGCGACCAGGCGCATCTACAGATCTAGGTGAAGTCTCAAATGCATAGTAAGAGGGGTGAGCTTCTTCAAGGTGAAAACCTTTCTTTCGAGAAGGGCCTGGCTTTGGAATCCCTTCTGGGGACAGTAACGGCTTGGACAGCGCACTGGTGAGGAGCTTACCCCGCCGAGGGCTTTTCAGCACCCCAGAGGCCCCATGGGGCCTCGCCTTGGCGGCTCGGGCCTTCTCACACTGCACAGTTTGGACTTGCAGCCACTCCAGTTGAAGAAGTCTGTCTATGTACTTCCCAAGGAACCCCGTGGCCCGAGGCAGGGCCTCACTCCTACACTCTGTGTTCAGAACCACAGCCATATCCTGGAGGTCCCAGGAGTTGAAAGGGGGTGGGAGAAAGTCAGGGTAGCAGTGTTCAGGTTCTGCCTGGCTCGGGTCTGGGTGAAGACTGAAGGAAAGCGGGTCTATCTCTTCTGCTCGAAGGTTGAGGTCAGGAGGAGTGAATGGGGAAGGAGGGATGGCCACTCTTTCTGAGTCCGACAGGTCACTTGCACTGTCCTCGTCAGCGCCCTCCTTCATGATTTTCATGGACTGGAAGTCAAGGAACAGCTTGCTTCCAGAGGCAGCCTGGTACCTGGAGCCGAGCACAGTCCGCTCCTGTCTTCCCTCCGTGGAAATGGTTTCCATGAGTTTATCTGCTGCAGGCAGGGAGACGCCAAGGAGGCTGCTTCCCAGGTGGGATCTACTCTGCCTTTTTCCTGCAGAAGTCTTTGAATGTTGTACTTGATTCCAAGATGAGCCGGCATTCACACTGTTGAAAAATAAATAAATGAATAAATAAATAAATAAGTAAATAAATAAACAAACAAACCTGCAGTCTAATCACTGATAAGAGAAACAGGAGTCTTCTGCTAACACTTTAGCCATTACTAATATGAGGCCTCCAGGTGCTTTATAGAAGCAGCGTTTGCAATCCAGTTTCCCTCTGTACTCTAGTCAGGGGCCAGTAGAGAATGCATGCCCCAAATGTGGATAGACCTGTACAACAAAGGTGAGCATTTAAAAACTTAACCATTTTCCAATGTGTTTTGTCCTATAATTTTAGAGCAATTGGGTATACCTTAAAAAAAAAATCACTTTTAAAAGCTGTCATAAGACTCTTGGTCTGCCGGGTGGTGGTGGCGCACGCCTTTAATCCTAGCACTCGGGAGGCAGAGGCAGGCAGATCTTTGTGAGTTTGAGGCCAGTCTGGTCTACAGAGCGAGATCCAGGAAAGGCGCAAAGCTACACAGAGAAACCCTGTCTCGAAAAACAAAAACAAAAACAACAACAAGACTCTTGGTCTGTTCTATTAGTGGTCAACAGTGTTTGAAAATATTCAGAAATGCAACTGGGCTTGGAAGCACATGCCTTTAATCCCCACACTCAGGAGACAGAGATAAGCAGAGCTCTGTGAATTCAAGGCCAGCCAGAGCTACCTTGTCTTAAAACAAAACAAAACAACAACAACAATAAATCTTTTAAGAAATATTCAGAAATAAACCCTTAAACCTCCTTTCATAGACATATTTTAGGGGAAGTATAGATATGATGTCAACTCAAGTTTTAATGTGTGGGTATATACATGTTTTCACATGTATATGGTTCAATGTATGCACATGCACATGAAGCCCAAAGTTGATGTCATGAATCATTCTTGATCAACCTTCCACCTAACCATGGAGGCAGGGTCTTTCAATCAAGCCCAGAGCTCATCCATATGGCTAGTCTTTCTTTAAAATTTATTTTCATTATTCTTAATTAGTGGGTGGGTGGTTATGTACACATTATGTGACTGAGGGAGCCTGAGGAGGCCAGAGGCATCAGATCCCTCTTAAGCTGGAGTTACAGAAGATTGTGAGCTACCTGATATGGGTGCTGTGAACCAAACTTGGGCCCTCTGCAAGAATAGTGTGCACTCATAATCACTGAGCCATCTCTCCAGGCAGCTATGGCTAGTCTTGCCAGCCAGCTTGCTCTGGGGTTCCTGTTTCTACCTTCCGAGACCGGCATTGCAGGTGAGCTGATACATCAGCCTGGCATTTACACGAGTTTCTAGGGACCTTTGGTCCTCACACTTGCCCAGCAAGTACTGGCACCATTAAGCCATCCCCAGCCTGGATTTCACTGTTTAACCACCAACTAGTAGAGACTCTGAAACAACTAAAATTTTAGTATGTAGGTTTTTCACTGTTCATTCCGACATATACCAGGAGTCACACGTCTATTACCATCTTTTCAAGTGGGAAACACTCGGGAAAAGTTGTGTTTAAAAGGCGAGAAGGGGCCGACAAGATACCTCATCAGGTAAAAGCATTTGCCCCCAATCCTAATGACCCGAGTTTGATCCCTGAGACCCACATGGTGGAAGGAGACAATCAACTCCTTAAAGATATTTTCTAAACACACATGCACTGTGGCATGCATGCACATGCACGCATATACATACACACAAAATGTAAAAAGGATAGAAATAAAGTCATGTGGTACCATGATAATTCAACACAAATGGAAAACAGGATGAATGCTGTCTTGGGAACAGCCGGCAAAGAGAATAGAGGAAACACCTATTTTCTTTTCTAATAGGCCAGTGAAGTCCTTCTAGAGCACTCTAAACTGAGGTGGGATCTCACAGGAGGCAAAATACCTTCCTTTTGGTTTACTTCCCAGCCACACACTATTTAACTAAAGTTAATAGTACTTCTTTAGGATAGAAGCCAGCTGAGGGAGAAGAAGTGGGTCAGTGTACTTTCCTGGAAGCTGAGAGGTCCATCTGTGCGGTGTTCTCTAGACTACTCATCAATTATTTGAAAAGGCTTCACACTTACTTAACGTCAGATCAGTGCAAGCAGGCAATGTGAACAAACGAAGAGACGGCTGTCATTAGGTATTCACAACTGTTAGCATTTTGTTTATAGATTAGAGAGTAGGCTTGGCAGTTCAGAGCAACACCCACAGGGCAGCTCAGGGCCACTTCTACCTCTAGTTCCAGGGGATCCAGTGCCTTTTTCTGGCCTCCCAGGTACCAGGCATAAAGGTATGCGCATGCAAAATACTCATACACACAAAAATAAACAAATCTCTAAAAAAAATTGTTCACAACCAGCTGCCATCACACATACCAGCCGTTAGCGGCTTCCCTGCCTTCTGTGCGAAGGAAGCCCACAAAGAGCAGCTAATCCAGCTGATGATGCCTAAAGACACTGTCTACTCGTTCCTGCCACAGACAAAGCACAGGTGGAGCTCGGGAGAACTGAAGGATGCTGCGGCAGGACCAGACAGGGTCTGGAAGCCAGTCACCTGCTTTTCTGACGACAGTCACTCATCCTATTCCTTTTCTTGAACAGGTCACAGGGCTGCTCATCATCTGAGGGCAGATGGGTTGTCTAAAAAAAAAAATACAGATTATTGATCAGAAAGTACCGTGAACTCACATGCCTGTGCAGGAGTATGCGCACACTCACATAATACACACACAGTAGCAGAACTATCCTCGTGGCATGACGTGACTGTTACTGTTTTGACTCAGAACAACTGATCATCCACAGGAGACATCTGTAAGGTCAGGCCTATTAGTCTCCCTAGTAGAAAGAAGTCATGGAACACCCTAAAAAGAGAGAGCTTATCAACATTTCCCCACGGAAGGCGCTGGAGAGGAAAGTTGTCAGCCCTGCACTTGAGAGTCCCTCTCCCGTCTCCGGCTCGCCCTTGCCAAAAGCATGTCATACCTACTTCCCCAACAGCATGTGGTCTCAGGGAGTGGCAGAGGTCACAGGAGGTGGAAGGCTCCCTGGGGTGGGGACTCCAGGGATGCTACTCTTTTGAGTTGTCCCTCATGCTGGAGTGGGAATATTGGTAATGTAGCTGCCTTTAAGTCACTCATATACCTTTAAGAGACCCCAATAAATTCACTGGTTCACTGGAATGGACTTGAATGAAACTATTCATTTGGTATGTTGACATCCTCTCTAGTGGTTTTTAAAATAATAATAATTTAAATATTATATAAATAACGCAACAGAACACACACACACACACACACACACACACACACACACACACACACACACACACACTTGAAGCATGTAACAAGAGAGTACCAAGACAAATCTAAGCAAGATTTCCTCTCAAAGTTACATCACCTTCTTCTCTGCAGTGCTCAGAAGAGTCTTGCTCAATCTGCTGCCAGATGATGACAGCTGGGGAGGTGACTTCTTTATTCTCCTTATCTTTGAAAAGGACTTCGAGCCACCGGAACTGGAAACAGCAGAACATTGGTGGTGAGTACCGACTGCAATCGGGGTGCCTGTCCCTGTGTTTCTGATCTAAGTATTTGTACCACACTGAAACCTTGAGGCTCTGACTGTGCAGTGGCTCAGAATTCTGTACTATGAAATGAGAAATGGGAGAGGATATTGTTGTATGTCTACAGTTTGATAGTATTTATCATAAATTAGATGTGTGTGGTAGGGGAATGCGCACATGTAAGTGTGGATGTCCTCAGAAGTTAGATGAAGGCATCAGACCCCCCGGAACTAGAGTAACAGGCAGTTGTGAGCTGCCAGACATTGCTGTGGGATGGTCTGTATGTCAAATGTGTTGCTGATTGGTCAATGAATAAATCACTGATTGGCAGTGGCCAGGCAGGAAGTATAGGCGGGACTAACAGAGAGGAAAATTGAGAGAACAGGAAGCTGGGAGGGGAGACACTGCCAGCCGCCATCAGGATAAGGAAGATGTAAAGTACCGGTAAGCCACAAGCCACGTGGCAAGGTATAGATTAATAGAAATGGATTAATTTAAGCTGTAAGAACAGTTAGCAAGAAGCCTGCCACGGCCATACAGTTTGAAACCAATATAAGTCTCTGTGTTTATTTGATCGGGTTTAAGCGGCTTGGGACTGGTGGGTGAGAGAGATTTGTCCTGACTGTGGGCCAGGCAGGAAAACTCTAGCAACAAATGGCGTCCAACGTGGTGGCAAGAGTTTCCACCTAAAACCTGAGAAAAAAAAAGATTCTAAAACGGAGCTAAAAACAGCTTCCTAATTGTCTCTCTCAAATGAGCGGCAGCTGCCGGTTTGAGCTACTGGCGGGTTGCTGGCGTACGTGCTCGACCTGCAGTATGGCGGGAATGAGGCCTCTGCAAGTGGCACATTAAGCTACATTGTGGATTTAGCCTTTGCTAGTACAAAACAAAAAAAGAGGTTTCTGGGCTACACGCTGCTTGGATAAAAGCATAGACCCACGATAGCTCCCAGAGCTGATGGTAAAGTACCACGCCATGTTGGGAAGCTGAGGTGGGCGGAGCCAGCAGCCACAGCTGCTGCAGCTTAAAGCAATAGATTCACAATAAGACAGATTCAGATGTAATTGTTTAAAATGTGTGTAAAATATACGTAGGCTTGAAAGAGACAAAAAAGGTGATATATACAGTATAGAAACAAATAAATGGTTTTAAAAAATAAAGTCTTTAAAGAGACAGTAAAATTAATATAAAAAAATAAGCCATGTAGAGATGACTATTACACAGAGAGTCTGGATTGTGTTGTCTTTGGGATTCTTAACTACAGAGAGATATTTGATTGTAAAGGAAGCTGAGTTAATCCAGTATGTATATTTTAAAGATACTTTGACTTCAAATTTTGGATGTAAGGATATGTTGCTTTGGAAAAGAGTCTCTTTTGTTTCCACAGAAAGCAAGAGGCTATGGATTTGTTCCAGATTAAGACACATCAGGTTTGACCAGCCAAGACCACCTGAAAGGTCTCCGATGACACCATGGCCCAGATGATCCAACATCCAGAACCGTTTCAAGGCAACTGGCTCAGATGATACAGCCTCACGGACTACTCCATGATCCTAAAATTTTCTTTGTTTCCCCAGAAGATACAGCGCCCCCCTCCAGCAGGAAGTAGTAAGAGAAGCTACGCCCAAATTCCCAAATATACCAAGCTGACTTTGGAGATGTGTAAAGGTTAAAACCTTCCTTTTTAAGAAAAGAAAAGGGGAGGTGCTGTGGGATGGTCTGTATGTCAAATGTGTTGCTGATTGGTCAATGAATAAATCACTGATTGGCAGTGGCCAGGCAGGAAGTATAGGCGGGACTAACAGAGAGGAAAATTGAGAGAACAGGAAGCTGGGAGGGGAGACACTGCCAGCCGCCATCAGGATAAGGAAGATGTAAAGTACCGGTAAGCCACAAGCCACGTGGCAAGGTATAGATTAATAGAAATGGATTAATTTAAGCTGTAAGAACAGTTAGCAAGAAGCCTGCCACGGCCATACAGTTTGAAACCAATATAAGTCTCTGTGTTTATTTGATCGGGTTTAAGCGGCTTGGGACTGGTGGGTGAGAGAGATTTGTCCTGACTGTGGGCCAGGCAGGAAAACTCTAGCAACAAGACATGGGTGTTGGGAACACTTACACTCCTACCCCGTGTCTATTAAATATAAGACCACAGTATTGAGTGTTGTGAATGGATCCTGAACCCCCACCTACACACATGCACACACACTCACTCCTTGGAAATGATGCCAATTAAATTTGCCTTTTACCCTAAAGCTCCCAAGTCCATTCATTCACTCATCCAGTAATACAAGACAGTCTAAAATATACAAAGACTGTGCACGAGGCCCTCATCCCACAAAGATAAAACTTTAGTGGGGAAGCACCCTCTAAATCCTTCTAACTTCTCTGTCATACGGCCAGCAGACCCCAGGTAAGCTTCCAGCACCATGTGGGTGGCTCACAAGGGCTTGTACCTCCAGTTCCAGGCAGCCACCCCACCTCGGCCTCCCAGAGCACCTGTGTGTATACATACACATGCAAATTATTTTAATGTAAAAAACCATCAGTGTATTAACTCCCATTACAGATCATATGCTGTCTCATTATGAAGCCCAGGTCCCCACACCACAGGTAGTCATAATTGCCGTTATTTTTGAGGGGCCTGTTGAAAGATTGTGCCTAAGAAACTGAACATTTTTCTCTCATAACACCCCAGCCTCTACCAAATGGGAAAGAGGTGGGCTCTGGGGAGATTTTTCTCAGCCACCACAATCATGCAAGACTTTTAGGTTTGCATGTGAAGATAACAAAAATCCTATCATGGCCTTTTATGGTTAAATGAGCCCACAATCAACAGGCTTCATTCCTTTTAGACGCAGAAAATGTTCGTTGGCCACCCTCTTTCTTTACCTCGTTCTTTCTGCTGTAAAGTGGCAAAGAAACCAAGAAGGAATTTCTGACCCAGGCGCTCTTTAAATGTGTGATGCCATCCTGGCCCCTCATCTCCCTGACAAACTCGACACATAGTTATGTGTGTGTGAAGTTCCTGGGAGAAGTAAAAGTGCAATCAGGATGCAGGGGTGGTGAATGGGGGCGGGGGAGGGGTGGGCAGAGAGACGGGGGTGGGGGGTGGGGGTGGGGATGAAGGGGCAGAGAACGGGTGGTTTCAGCTTGCATAGCAGCAAAACTAAAGCTCAAGAAATTCTGGCTACAAAAATGCTCCTCAAGAGCCAGAAGCTGGATTCGGGCAGCTGCACAATTATTAGCCCCTGTTCCCAGTCTTCCTCTCTGGCCGCAAGCCCGGCAAACGGAAGCAACGTCCCCCACCTCCTCCCCAGGGAACTGGCTGCCTGGCCAATGGGGAGGCACAGCATGGTGGGGAGGTGTGGGCAAGATGCTTCCCTCAGCTGCAAGCTTCTCCAGGTCTGGCCGCTGGTCCAGGTTGCTGGAGATAGGTGACCAGAGCTGGCTGGCTGGCCGTTCACCCTAATCCTTGGGCCAGCTCGCCGCCAGGCCAAACTAGGCTGGACTCTGTCCCGCCCCCACCCGGTACTCCTCCAGCCCAAGGCCCTGCAGCAAGCACCCAGCGCGTCCTCGGCTGCTGCAGAAACCATCGCTGATGGATGGGTGCAGCGCGCGGGCACACGCACCAAGGAAGCCCAGCAGACCTGCTCCGCGGCCTGAGCGCACGTGACGAGGATCCCGAGGGTGGCTGCTGCGCTCTGCGGCTGGGCGGGTGAGGGCGGCCGGGCTGGCGCGGGCAGCGGGGTTCCGGTAGGCAGCGTGGGGCGACGCGGGGCGGCGGGGCAAGCTAGCGGGACGCGCCCGCGGGCGGCGTCACGAGGGGCGGGGCCCCGCGCCGGGGGCGCGCCGGGAAGTTGCGCCTAGAGAAGTTGCGGGCGGCTGAGTCTTGGGGCTCGGGGCGGAGGGACTCCCCAGCCTTCCCGTAAACGCCAGGAAGAGCAGGGAGAAGCAGGCGCCACCCCGCAGGGCTCATCGCCCCGGGAAGCCGCCCTGGAGAGTGCGGTCGGCCCTAAGGGATCGTCCGCCGCTGAGACCCGAGCCAGGCCGCGAGCACACAGCCTCCCTGCAGGGTGCGGCGCCTCGGGACTCCCAGAGGCTGTGCAGCCTGGACTCCCGCCCTGGCCCCCGGCTGGGCCATGTCAAGAGGTCCTGGCTCTGCCCCGATGCCCCCAACCCCGGGTTTACGGAAACCGGCGCCACGGAGCCTCAGTTGCCTCTCGGAGCTGGATCCGCAACCCTGCAGACCCCCGGGCTGCGACCCTCGGCTGCAGCCCATCATCCAGCGGCGCTCGCGCTCGCTGCCCAGCTCCCCCGAGCGCCGTGCCAAGGCTGCGGGAGCTCCCGGCGCTGCGTGCCGAGCCGGCTGCAACCGGCAGCTCCGTGTGCGCTTCGCTGACGCTTTGGGCCTGGAGCTGACGCAGGTCAAGGTGTTTAACGCAGGGGACGACCCGTCCGTGCCGCTGCACGTGCTGTCGCGCCTGTCCATCAACTCGGACCTGTGCTGCAGCAGCCAGGAGCTGGAATTCAAGCTGCAGTGCCTGGTTCCCGACTTCCCACCGCCCATCGAAGCCCCGGGCTTCGGAGATCGCCTGGCACGGCAGCTCGTGTGCCTGGAACGTGTCACTTGTTCGGACCTGGGCATCAGCGGCACAGTGCGCGTGTGCAACGTGGCCTTCGAGAAGCAGGTGGCAGTACGCTACACCTTCTCTGGCTGGCGCAGTGAGCATGAGGCTGTGGCTCGCTGGAGAGGGCCTGCGGGTGCCGAGGGGACCGAGGACATCTTCGCCTTCGGCTTTCCCGTGCCACCCTTCCTCCTGGAGCTCGGCTCCCACGTGCTCTTCGCACTGCGCTACCGTGTGGCTGGCGCTGAGTACTGGGACAACAACGATGGTCGCGACTATAGCCTTACTTGTCGTAGTCATGCCCTGCACATGCCGCGCGGGGAGTGCGAAGAGAGCTGGATCCACTTCATCTGAGCTGCTGGTCTTGAACTGGGAGCGTCCGTCTCAGCAGCCCCGTCCCCACGGGTGCTGATCTCTGAGTGGCCGCCTCCCACCCCACTCTTCCTTCCCAGTAGTCTGGTCTCATTTCTTGCCGTGAAGCCCTGCAGCAGTGGCCTGTCGTGTCTTGTAATGAATTGTCTGGAGAGCCTGGTGGCCAGAGGAACCGGAGTCTGTGTAGTGTGTTTGGGGGAAGGGTGTGGGAGGGTAGATGCATGGGATTGTTGTCCTTAATTTCAGGAGGACCCAGGTCGGTGTTTTGCAAGGATGGCCTTTTGCATGTCTCCTCAATGTGTCTAAACACAAGTAGGCATTATTTATTATTGTGAAGTTAGCCTTCCACCCGTAGTGGATGCCTTTTCAGGAATACTCTAGATTTAGTAAGCTTAAAGAAGGCCTGTTGTCTGTCTGCACCCACACAATGTGGCCTACATTATGGTCCCTCGAGGCATTTCTACCCTGGGATGGTTAAAAACCTGAGACCATGTTTGCTTGCCAATGTTTGTAGCCTCCCAACAGTAAGAACTATTAATAGTCAAGAAACTTACAGCTCATCTGTCATCACACAACCATTTCTGGGCTTCGAGGCTGCCCTGGTTAGGCAGTGCCTCCCACATCAACAGCTGGGGAGGAGTGGACTGAAAAGCTTCCAGCCATGCTGCTTGGCCCAAACAGTGCTTTCTCGGGGACTACCGTTCATGTATTTGTCTTCTGGTCTGGTACTGGGTCTGCTCGTTAACAGGCCATTTTCTGTTTAGGTTTGAAACTACCTGAACCTTTGAAAAGATCTTGCCTTAAGTTATTTCCGTTTTCAAATGGCCACAGGGATTCAGGCAGGAGTGCCCTTCCCGGTGACCTTTTCCACGAAAGAGATGACTTTTTATTTCTAAGTATGGGAAGATTCCAGCCTTCCTATTTTGGAAGTCAACTTTCAAATGAATCTGGATGGTGTTTTCAGAAACAGCCAGGGCTTGGAGGAAGACAATTCACAGATTTTTATACACCTAATGGGTTTTTAATTGTACAGTTATGCCAGGTCTCACAGCTACCCGCCACTTTATTCTTTGTGCCTTCAGTTAGGAAAGTTGCTAACATTTTTATGGGCTTATTTCCCAGTTTTAAAATGTTAAATGCTTTTAAAAACAACAACAACCAGAACCTCCGAGTTTGTCCAGACCACTCACTGTTCTTGCCGGATGTCCCTGCTGCTTAGAACCCCCTGTGGAGGGGCTGGCAAATCTTTTTTGGTGCTGAGCTGTGGCCTCTCTGACAGCGGGTGCTAGAACTGAGGCAAAACAGACTGAGGTGGACAAGACCTCCCAGGTGTGACTTTTGCTTTTGAGACAGTGGAAGTCCTACGATGGACTTGGTGACATCTGTCACCAGTGAGTGTTTGAGTATTGATGTTTGTTAAATCAGCATGGAAAAGATGTATTTTACCCTTTAACCTGTTTGGTTTTGATACTTGAAACTTCTGCCTTTTAAAATTCCAAGAACAGTGTTGGCTTTCTCTGGTACCTTCTGGACTAAGACAAGTTTTGATTTAAAATTCCACAATGAGGCGACACAGCCTTTGGCTGTTAGGACTCTGCACTACATTGACATTCAAGAGTGAGAGGAGCCCAGAGGCGTTTCCTGCTGCTTAATGGAACTGTCCAATTAGGTCAGCAAACCCCAGGGGTCATGGCTACTCTGTCCTTGGCCCCTGTCCAGAATGCAAGATAATGGTCCAGACTCTTCAGGTAAAAGGTAGACTTGTCTGGAGGATTGTTGCTTCAAAGCACGGAGAGAATTTTACAGTCCATGGGAAAGCCAATCACTTGTCCAAAGGGTCTAATTACAGAAAAGTAAATAATATATCATCAAAATTGAGAGAACCTTAAGGTGCCTTTTAAGACATACCAACAATTTGAAATCTAAAGCTTAAAGACGGTTCTGCTTGATTAAAAAAATGAATAAAAGCTGTAAGACATTTCAGGGTGAACTTTCTGACCCTAAGACTCACTTAGACTGTTGAGATGTTAAAATTGTGTGGATTGTGCACTGTGTTGGGTTGTTCCCCAAATGTATTTTACTGCCTGTCACTTAAAATTATTTTACTCAAGCCTAAATATTAAAGTACATGTGTAAAAATGTCCCTTTGTTAAGCTGGTGCGTGTCTTGTAGAAGACAAAGTTTTGGAACATCTTGGTGTTTAAATCATTTCACACGGAAGTCCTATCCTTCCCCAGAAATGGATGAGTACTGGGCCTTCTTTGAAGGGACTCCTGCATCTGTAGCAGAGTGGTATGTGTGTTGCTAAAACACCTTCTCTGAGGAGACTTAAAATCCACCACACCTCCTCCTATCCCAATAAAAAGGCAAACTACAGTTTTGCCAGAGTTCACTCATTGGGCTTATTTTGGAGCAATGGGTAAGGGGCTATGGCAGGGTGGGGGTGGCCTTAAAGGAGTCAAACGGGGCGATCTGCACCCAGCAGTGATGAAGAGTCCCCAGGTCTGTGCAGATAGATTCCCTCCCATAATCCTTCCCCACCCTTAACCTCTAGCCTAAGTAGTTCTCAGTCTTCCTAACGCTGTGACCCTTGAACACAGTTTCTCATGTTGCGGTGACCCCCAACCAAAAATTATCTCATTGCTACTTCATAACTATAATTTTGATACTGTTATGAGTCATAGTGTAAATATCTGATATTCAGGATATCTGATATGTGGGGGTCACGACTCACAGGTCAAGAACTGCTGCTCTATCCCTTCCCAGAGACTCAGGCCATTGCAATTGGGGCAGAACAACTGCATACAGTTGGTTAGGAGGGGTGGCGGGCAGAACTTCATACAGTTGGTTTGGAGGGGTGGTGGGCTGCATTCGGGCGAGGATCCTGTCACTCTCCCTGTCCCCCTACCCCTTCAAGAAGAAAGGTCAACAATCAACAAGACCAGCTGGGGTGATGTTTAGCATGAAGATGGCAGCAGTTTGGCTTGGAGGATAGTCCTGTACAGCAGTGTGTGTTTATAAAAGTAAAACATCTTACCCTGTAGGTCAGAGTTCAGGGGCTGTGGTAATTGTATTTCTCTTAAATTCCTCTGTGACTCCTGTGGAGCCCGGCCTGCACTGAAACTCTCCACCAAGTACAAAGTTTTACATCCATTAAGGAGGAAGGAAACTGGCATTCAGCATGCCTTGTCTTATTTGCTCAGCCAAGATGCTAGACTCTTGGTGTGTTTGGAATTAATCAGTCGTGCTGTCTGGTTGATAATAACCCCCATTTTCTTAGCTGCAAAGAGAGGCTCTTCCACAGCCAGCCGGCCTCAAATTCAGCGTTAAACCAGCTATCCAGCTCCATGATCTTTCTGCCAGGAGATATGACCCACAACCTGTTTCCAATAAGAGCTAGTTAAATTTACTTGAAAAGGGTGAAGGGATGCATCTCTTAGCTTGACTAACACAGACAAGGCCAGAGGTTTGAACTCTGGCCCTGCAGAGAACATATGTGACCAGAAACCAAATTTCGATAATGACTGATAAGATTTTCTTTCAGACACCACAGTTTAAAACCTTTAAGTAAAACCACTTAGGGTAAGAATAAATGGGTTGTCTTACTTTTCTATTACTGTGATAAATCATCAGGACCAAAAGATACTCAGGGAGCAAAGGGTTGTTTCCTTCTACTTCTACATTGCAGCCCATCACTGATGGAAGTCAGGACAAGAATTCAAGGCAGGAACTGAAGCAAAACCCATGGAGGAGTACTGCTTACTGGCTTGCTCCCCATGGCTTGCTGAGCCTGCTTTCTTATGAACTCAGGATCATTTGTTCTGCAGTGGCACTGCCCACAGTGAGCTAGACCCTCCCACATCAATTGTTAGTTAAGACAATACCCCACAGACTTGCCTGCAGGACAATCTTATGAAGGCATTTTCTCAATTAAGATTCCTTCTTCCCAGATAAGCCTAGGTTTGGGTTGAGGTGACAAAAGCCTCGGAACAGGAGTGATATACTTTGTTCCTTCATGTAACTGTCTAAAGACATGTTTGTGCCTCTCCTAACAAGCTGCTGGTTGGGAAACCACTAGATTGCATCATGGAAGATGGTAAGTCTATTACAAGAAAGCAGAGTGTGAAGACAGTGATGCAAGTCTCGGGTCGTGAGGCTGACATGCTCTGATCTTACATTTTGTATTATATGTGTATAAACTTATGTGTATAAACAATTCAAAAAACATTGCAAACTAAATGTCTTGAATACTCAATATAAGCCTGTCAACTGCATACATTGTTTAATTTTTTTTTTTTTTAAATTAGGATCTCCCTGGACCTACATGTAATTCCAGCCATTTGGGAAGCCGGGACAGGAGGATCTCAAGTTCAAGTTGCATACCCAAGCAACTTAGATCCTGTATCAGAAAGTACAAAGAGGGCTGGAAGTATAAATCAATGGTAGATCACTTTTCTGGCATGCATGAGGCCTTGGATTCAATGAGGAATTAACTCAAAATTCAATTTAACAAGGCACAAAGTTGTAATGATGCCTGTAATTCTAGCTAAGAAACACTGCAGTTTATATTCTGTGTGATTTGAACTGCTTTGGTACTCAGGGTTTTTTGCTTTTTTTTTGTGTGTGTGTGTGTGTATGTTTATTTTCTAAGTGCTTTCTAAAGCACATTTAAGTCAGAATTGTGTGCTGGCCATTTGTTGTGGAAGGCTACTGTAGCAGGAATCTTAAAAGTTCTTATTAATAAAATCAAACCTTTGCCAGGTATTGGGGTGAACTGGGAGATGAGAGAACCAGAACAAGCCACAGCTACCTCACCTTGCCGGATCCTCAGCTGGTCTTATTTCCTCTGAGTCCTCATCCAGAATGAATCTTAGCTGAACTGTGCTGCTCGAAAGCCTGAAAGCTTAACCAGCCAAATGCTTAACCAGACCAAGTGCTTAATCAGGCCAAATGCTTCTAGTTTCTGGTCCTCATGCCTTATATACCTTTCTGCCTTCTACCACCACTCCCTGGGATTAAAGGCTCACTTTCTGGGATTAAAGGCGTGAGTCACCATGCTTGGCTGTATCTTTGAACACATGGATTTCTGCCTCTGGAATGCTAGGATTAAAGGCTTGTGCTACCACTGCCTATCCTCATGTTTAATATTGTGGCTGTTCAGCCGGGCGGTGGTGGCGCACGCCTTTAATCCTAGCACTCGGAAGGCAGAGGCAGGCGGATCTCTGTGAGTTCGAGGCCAGCCTGGTCTCCAAAGCGAGTTCCAGGAAAAGGCGCAAAGCTACACAGAGAAACCCTGTCTCGAAAAACAAAAAACAAAAAAAAAAAAATATTGTGGCTGTTCTGTCTCTGACCCCAGATAAGTTTATTAGGGTACACAATATTTTGGGGAACACAATACCACCACAGGCTACCCTCTGAGCATAACAGCCATCAACTTCAGGAAAATTGCGGTTCCCATTGTTAAGACCCTGGGAAGATTAACCTGTTGGCTACTGACAATCCTTCAGGGAATTGGGTAGGGTCGATCACTGGACCCTCACCTGAGATCCCAGCCACTCCCTTTGCACGCCCCTCTCCAGCTACCTGTCATTCTGCTCTAATTGCACGTGCCTGGGCTTGGGTGGTGCCAGTGTATATGAGGGGTGGAGGGTTGCCGCAAGAAGCACGTCTCTGGTGGTGCAACCATGAGGAAGTCGTCATTAATCGTCCATGCTAAGCTTAAGTTATTTGGTGACGCTGCTGCTTTGAGGTCACTTGCTTCCCATCAGTAAGCCCAGCAAGCTCTGGTATCTAAGCTAGACGTGGGTGGAACCCAGCTTTTGGTCTGTTATTGGAGCCCTATCTGCTTTTGGTCTGTTATTGGAGCCCTATCTGGGGTGAGTAGACATTCGATCTCATCCCCCAGGAAAAGTTAAGAAAGCACCACTGAAACCTGGGTCTGCTGCATACTGACCACAGCTGAGCTGCACCCTAGCCCAGTCATCCAATTTAAAAAAAAAAAAAAATGCTTTTTAGATAGGAAATCAAGCTGTTACTAAAAATACCATTTTGAACTCTGATTTGGTACCATCCCCTTTTAACTCTCCTCTTGTGAAGCTTTTAGAGCTCCCACTAGGTCGCAGGATAACCCAAGGGTTAAATAAAGCCGTATTATCTGTCATGGGGATGCAAAGCAGGCAGCATCATGCACGCCTGTGCAATTTGTCAAAAAGGCGGGGCCACCATAAATTCAGGGCACAGAGAAAATGGAGGAGCCACAGCACTGCCGCTATGGCTGGAACCTAGGGGCATGAGAATGGCTTCATTGAGGGGTGGTGGAGCCCCACTGCCTGCAGGTTCTGTCTCCTCAAGGCCTGTGTTTTCTCTCCAGGTGGGACATGGTTAGCGCCCCCTGCTGGCGGGCGGCCCTGCAGCACAGCATCGCCGCGCCGGTGAGGAAAGCAGCTGCACACCACCATAGACCCTGCTTCCGTCACTTCCGACTCCCAACCATGGACAGGGCAAGGGTCATCGGAAGTGGGATGGAGAGATGTGCAATTCTTCCCAGAAACACCGGGACGCTGCTACACCCTAGCCAGTGTCTCTGGAGGGTAAGGGGCGTGGCCTCTCTGGGCGGCGCTGATTGGACAAAGGAGCGTGGCCTGGTTGGGCGGCGCTGATTGGTCGGAAGGGGCGTGGCCTGGTTGGGCGGTGCTGATTGGACGGGCGGTTTCCCGCTTTCCGTTGGAGCCCGGGAGGCTGAGGAGGCGCGGTCACCCTCGACGTCCCGCGCCCGTGGAGGAGGAGGAGGCCGCCAAGCTGGGGTGTGCGGGGCTTCGGGGGGCGGATGGGTGGGAGGGCGGGCTGGGGCTGCTGCGTGGTGTGGCGGGACAGAGAGGAGTGTGTGAGGAGCTCGAGAGGCCGAGGCCTGAGCGGCCTGGGCCGTGGTGAAGAGCGCGACCACATGGCGAGGCCTTGGGGGAGGCCTGAGGGCTGAGGGAAGTGCGAGGCCGACGGCCCCTGAGCATGCGCCGTGGGGGGTGGGGTGGGGACGGGAGCACGAGGGCCTTGGGCTCTGAGTGGGCCTCTGGTATCACGGGATCCCCGCTGACTTCCTGTCTGAGGGCTTCCTGTGGGGGACTGGGTGAGGACCGGGCCTGGC